AGTTCAGTGCATCGAGGGGTACCAGTGGCACGGGTACGGGCAGGGATACCGCACTCGCTTTGAGCATACTGCTGCTCGCCACATCTGCCGTGTGCAGTGTCTGCGGTGATGACCCCACTAGGCGCCCCCCGGTAATCGCCCTCGTGATAGCGTGCATGCTACGGCGGAGCGCATCTGTACTTTCATTTCACAGTTTCACTCGCGCGATGCCACATCACTGCGGCCCCTGGCCCGTGACTCATCTGCACCTTCCCGCCTCGACCGGCCACCAACAGGTACAGGCTGCTGTGGCTGTTGTGGCTCACCCTGGCCAGGATCTCCTCTGCACACGCACAAGCACGCACTGTGCACCTGCAACATTAGCCGCTTTTTTTACTGTAACCCGAGGTGAAGCCTCTTCTGCGGCTCCGATCGACTCGCCCTTATGCTCTGGTGATTTGTGACACGGATCCGGGTACTGGCAGGGATACACCAGCCGCGCCCGGCCCGCAAAGCTCGCAAAGCGCGCGGCCCAGAACTGTGAAGTGCGACCTGCGAAACACGAAGCCCAGGTTCCCACGCACTGTAGGCAAACAAGTCAAGCTTGGCGACTTCACACTGCGACACTGCTGCGGGTGTGCGGGTCTCTCATGCGGGTGTGTGCAGCTGCGTACACACCCTTTCCTTGATTCATACACTTTGATCCCCGGTGAGACGGTGACGGCCGACTACGACTCCAAGATAGTTGAGATATACTTCTGTCATACACTATTCAAGCGGCTGCATCATCAGATCCACAAAAATCGTGAATTGGCGCTTGCGCGCTTCCCACGCTTCTGCAGCAATACGGTATAATCTCCTTCTGATACCGATCATTGGCTTCCAAACTGTGACCGAATATTCTTCAACATATGATACGAGCACAGCTTCACCACGCAGCATGATCACCTGATCTGTTCACCAAGGTGGCATCTTGCCCTTTTTATTGTTTCATATAGTGATATCACTCAGTAGGCTTGTGCAAAATCAAAGGCGTGCGGCGTCATGGTGGTGGTGCCCACTGCGCCAGCGGCCGACGCAGTCGCACCGCCGGTGCCACCAGAGGCGATTGCAGCTGTGCCAGCGGCGCCGGGGACGCGCCTGTTCTTCACATGGGGAGGTGGCACCCAGATACAACTTTGCGAGCTGCAGGGACAGGGCGCAGACACCAGCCAGGGCGCCTGGGCATCCCCTGTGGCCTGGTGAGTTCTGGTGGCGTGTGCGTGAAGCGGGCTTTGCAACATGGTTTATAGACGGTACTGCCAAGTGACTGGCGCAGCGGCCGCCAGGCACAAAGTGATTCTGCTCCGGGCGTCTGCGTAGCTTTTGCACATGCTGCAGGTGTGCGAGGCAAACAGAGCATATGCTCAGCGCAAGGGCTGGCTCGCCCTTGCGGGGGCGCGCCCACGGTGGACGTTGATTCTCCAAGCCCCGTCTGCGGCGCCCATGGCCACGCTCACAGCTTGACCCCGTGCGCGCTCCTCCACCCATCCGCCCCAGGAGCGCCCCCACCATGGAGCAGCGCCGCATAGTGTATGATGCACTACCCCTGTACCGCCAGCTGAGGCAGGCGCTGCTGCAGGGTGCGGCGCGGCCGCCCGGCAGCGGGCGCGGGGGGTGGGGGGGGGGCGCAGCGCGTGCAGCCCCACCAGCGCCGTGCGCGGCGTATCTGGGAATCTGCTGGTGCTTGTCCCCGCAGCAACAAAGCCGAGCGGGCCCATCAGCGGCACGGTCCGCGTCTCGCCCGCGCGTCGCGCTCCCTTGCTTGCGCAGAGGACCTGGCCCCAACGGCGCGCCTGGCGGTGCTGCGGTCTTACGCGCGCGGCGTCAGGCAGATCCTGATGTCAGGCGGCAGGTGAGGGGGCGCGCGCGCGCTCCCCCGCGGCGGCCTGTGCGCCGGGGCCGGGGGGGGGGGGCAGACGGCCCTCCGTCAAGCCAGGCTTGGCTGCAGCACAGCCACAGCCGGATCACCGGCGGGCCCGAGCTGCCCGGGGAAGCTGCCCCGCAAAGTTGCCACGGTCATCGTCAAACATCACTGCCGGTCGGCCACTCGGCGGCCTCCGGCATGACAGCTGACGTGACGACCCTGACGAGGCCTCGACGGCGCCGTATGAGGCGGCGGTGTGGCACCTGCTGGAGCTGTTTTTCCTGGAGCTGAGAGCACAGAGGGCTTCTTTGCAGAGGTATGTGTGCGTGTGTGCGCACGCGCGTGTTTCAGTGTGTGTGTGTGTGTGTGTGTGTGTGTGTGTGTGTGTGTGTGTGTGTGTGCGCGCGCGCGCGCGCCTGCGCAACGCATGCACCTGAGGCATCCACAAATTGATTGTTTGTTCTGGGTGGGTGCACTTGCATTGAGCACACACAGCAGACGGCCGGGCACCAGAGGGCCGCGGGCCTGGCGTTGTGGGACGCGGTCTGTCCGCGTTGCAGGCAGGGGTCCCAGGGCGTCTGGAGCAAGGTTATGGGGGCCCAGCTGCCCTCGTGCACGCCAGCTTGCGTGGCCAGCCACAGGTCGAGCTGCCAACGGCAGCCCGCGTGCCGCGCTCACCCTGATGCCTCTACTCCCCGGCCCCGGCCCCGGCCCCGCGCGCAGCTGTTCGCCCGGTGGCTGCGGCTGCACGGGTCGCTGCTGGTTGGCCCGGCGAGCCCCACCCTCACAGAGCGCGCCGAGGCGCTGCGGGCGGCACCCAGGTGTGCAGGCGAAAGCGTGGCCGTCGACCGTCGACAGCACGCGCGCTCCGCCGCCTGCCGCAGGACGGCGCGACACGGCGGGTTGCATGCAGTTGGGCTGCCTGGGTCTAAGTGAGAGCGCCATGGCCAAACCCGCGTCACACACCGACGCCACCATGCCTTTCGCCACGTGAACCTGTCGGGGGTAGCGCTCAAACGGCTTGAGAGGCTCCTCCAGCGCTGACGCCGTGCTGCACCCCCTGCTGCGCCCCCTGCGGCGCGCCCCCACCACCCCCGCTCCCCCACCCGCAGGCTCGAGACGGAGCCCTTGTACTGGCCCATGCTGCGCCGCCTGCTGGCGGTGGGGCAGCTCGAGGTCGTGGGGGAGCTGCTGCTGGCGCACCCGGCCTACGCTGACTCAGACGCCGGCGGCCTGCAGGTGAGGCCGTCAATGCCAGGGTCTTACGCGTCACGTCAGAACAAGTGACCAAGCATGACGTCACCTGGTGTACCACACAGAAGCGGTTTTTTTACTGCTCCGCGCGCGCGCATCTGCGAGCGAACCGCCCGACGCGCCCGTTTTGCCCCTGCACCGGCGCCACCGGCGCCCGCCGCGCGGCCGCCGCTCTTCGTGCGTCCCTCATCCCTGCGGCACCAGCCAACCCTTGTGCATCTGCTTTTCCCACGCAAGCCAGGCAACCCCGCTGCAACCGGGCCCTCCTGCCCTCGTCCCTCACAACTCCCAAAACAATCCCTCCCTTGCCCTCACCCACAGCGCGACCTCCTCGATCGCGTCTTCCACCTCCTCCGCACCGCGCCCCGCCTCCGGCGCCCTGCGGCCGCCGCCGCGGCGCGGCCGTCGCCGCTGGACGGGCCGTCTGACCTGGAGCTGCTCGGCCTGCCCACAGACGACGCGCTGGCGTCCCGGTCAGCGCGCGGTGCGTGGGGGCGCGCGTGCGGCAGCTGGCGGGGGTGGGGGGCGGGCTGTGGGAGGACGCGGCGGCAGTCGACCCTGAGGGATGGGTGAGCGTGTGTGTGTTTGGGGGGGGGTGTGAGTGTGTGTGAGAGAGAGTGTGTGAGAGAGTGTGTGTGTGCGTGTGTACGTGTGTGTACACATGTGCGTGTGTGCGTGTGTGTAAGTGTGTGTGTGTGTGTGTGTGTGCGTGTGTACGTGTCTGTACACATGTGCGTGTGTGCGTGTGTGTAAGTGTGTGTGTGTGTGTGTGTGTGTGTGTGTGTGTGTGTCGAGTCGGCGCGGGCGTTCTGCTACCTGCTGGCTCGGAGGTGGTCTGCCTGCGTGCCTTGTTAAGTGATTACGGGGCTGCTTTGATCCCGCGTCCGAGCTGCATCGCCTTTGAATGCGGCTTGGATCGGTGCGCTTGTCGGCATGCGTTTGTGGCGTCCCAATGTTCAATCAAGCAACGTATGCAGCGGTCAGCGCCCCGCGTCCCTGCCGCACCAGACGCCTCTCCCCTCGCCTCTTCGCCCCGCGCGCAGGGCTGCGCGCGCTGCTGTTGATCCTCAACAGCGACGAGCGCGCGCTGCGCGACGCGGCCGCCAACTGGGCCGAGCTGCTCACGGCGCTGCTGTTCTGGCGCTACATTGACGCCAACCCGCAGCTGCACCTCGAGCAGCTGCTGGGCAGCGCCGCGGACCAGGTGGCGGCGGCGGTGGCGGGCGGCGCGGCGGAGGCGGAGGACCAGAATGAGGGCTTCTTGGAGTTTCTGAGGGAGGTGAGGCGCAATCTCCCAAACCCTAAACCCTGGATCCTAAAACCTCAACCCACTCCTGGCCACTTGTTGATTGAATGCCATTGTATAATTGAAAGCGGGGCCTTGTCGGGGAGCAATGGGCGAGGCCGCTCGCTGCATCGAGGCCGCCTGACCGTGCGACTGATCAACCGCGGCCGCCCAGTGGCGGCGGCGGCGCCATCGGCTGCGACTTGAGCGCTGCGCGACCCTCGGCGGCCGGCTCTGTTTACAAATCGCTTCAACCTCACATCCGATGGGGAGCAAAAGCAGCCGACACCTTCCCTGCGCCCGCCCACAGCTTCCCTCCTGCGCGCCCCCCCTCCCCCGCCAGCTGCTGCTGCTGGCGTCGCAGCTGGAAGTGCAGGGGGTGGTGCGGCTGACGACCAACTCGCCCTACTGCGGCCTGTGGTTTGTCGCCCACGCGTACGACGTGCTGCGCGGGTACCCCAGGGCCGAGGCGCTGTTCAGCCGCACGCTGCCCCACGTCGGCTGCGACCAGGTGCGCCGCGGGGCGGCTGCGGCTGCTGCGCACCACACGCACGATCTGATAAGCGGCCACCTTCTCCGTCTGGGGGCGAGCAGGGGGCTGGCCCGCGGTTGGCGGGGCTGGGGGCCCGCTGTTGATGCGCGGGGAGAGCGTTTTGTGGCTTTAGCGCGGCGTCGCAGCACCGGCAGATTGCTGGAAGTGATGCGCGTAGCAGCCGTCAGTCCTTGGGGACAAAGGCAATCAAGCATGTGCTTGCAGACGCGCGCGCACACACACACACACACACACACACACACACACACACACACACGCACACACACACACACACACACACACACACACACACAAACACACACACAAACACACAAACACAGACACACACACACACACATACATTAACACGCACAATACATCACACATTCACCACTCACAGGCTGAGATGTACACACTGACCTACGTCGAGACCCTCCCGGCCTCTGACGGAACCTGGCAGGTGGGCAGACACACAAGATGTCGCGCGGCCCTCGGCTTGGGACGACAAACCCGCGGCGCTCAGCAGCGCTGCATCGTGAACCTGTGTGATTTTGCGATGCTGGACTGCCGCTCTGCTTTTGGCTGTCATGAGTGCTGCTCTCATGGGTGGTGATGAGGCGTTTGATAGGCTGCGCGCGACGCGGTCACCTGAAATTTACGCTTTACACGCTGCTGGTTTAGCTGATGTGAATCAAGCTCGTCGACGGTACACGCATACATGTCCACGGCATCTGCACACCACACCGCCCGTTGCAGACACACACACACACACACACACACACACACGCACGCGCGCGCGCGTGTGCGCGCGTGCGCTCGCACGACTGCCGATACCGCGCAGGTCGCGGCTGAGTACCTTGCTTGGTGTCCCGTGTACGGCGCCGACGCGACCGATGCGCTGCTGGCACGCCTGCCGGTGAGGGCGCCGGTGCCAGCGCGCGCGCGTGGGCTGCGCGGGCGGTCCGGCGCGCAGGGAGCGCGTGCTGCCGGGCCGCGCCGCTCCGACAGCGCCTCCCATTGTGGCGCGCGGCCGCGGCCGCGGGCGCCCGTCAATGGTTGGATGCTTGCTTGCCCCCGCCACCATACGCCCGCTGCCTCGCCCTCGCCGCACCCGCGCTTGCGCCCACCCCTTGCTTTCTCGCCGTCCCTGACGCCCCTTGCCATCCTCAATTCTTATGCTGATCCTGTGAACCTCATCTGCCATAAACTAAAAATGCAGCTCTCTGTTGATGACGAGGCGGCGGCCCTGAAGGCCCTCGCCCTGTGCGACCGCCACGGCCTCTCCGCCGCCGCCCGCGCGCTCTGCGGCCGCCTCGCCGCGCGCGCGGCCGAGGCCGGCCTGCCCGGCGCGGCGCTGCGGTGGGCACTGCGCGGCGGGGACGGCGCGCGGGGCGCGGCGCTGGTGGCGCCTGTATTGGCCAAGCTGCGGGCCCGAGGCGCGGGTGGTGGCTGGTTGTAGCTGTCTCCCAGCTTCCCAGCTTCCCAGTAGCTTCCCTATTCTCGCCTCTGGACCCTGGCCAGCACTGCCAGGGTCCAGAGGCGAGAATAGGGAAGCTGGCCGTGCTGGCCAGGGTCGTGCCGCAATGGCATCCGGTCGGGGTCGTGTTGACGCTCGCATGGCACGGCCCGGCCCGCGGCCACGCTCGGCCCGCTCAGGTGCACAGCCCACCGCAGGCCCCGGCGCCGTCACAACCCCCCCCTCCCTGCCGGCCGCGAGCTAGACGCCCCGACCGCCCCAACCGACGCAGTCCGGCGGCCCCGACGCGATGCCCCTGGACCTTCCGGAGCTCGACGAGCTGGCACCGCTCCTGGACTGCCTACCGCCGCTGGCCGGTTACGACGCGTCTGTGGTGGCAGCAGACGGGGAAGGCAGCGGCGGCGCCTCCACAGGGGAGCTGCTGGCGTCGGGCGCGGCGCCCTCGGCCGCTGCGGTCGCAGCTGCGGCGCAGCGGCGGCGGGCGCGGCACCAGCTGGCCAGCGGGCCGGCGGTCGCGCACGCTGAGCTGCAGCTGCTGCGCGGCTGCCTGCGGCTGCAGGGCGCACTGCGGGCGCTCGCGGCCGCGCAGGCGGCGCAGGCCGCAGCCGCGGGCGAGCGGCACAAGCAGCAGCGGCGGCGGCTCGAGGGCGGCGCCGCGCCTGCCTCGTCGACGCTCGCGGGGCGTACCAAGCCGCGCGGACGCCCGTGATGGACCTGCTGGGTCTCCCGCTCGCGCTGCCCCCGCTGCGCCTGCTGCTGCGGCGGCTCGCGGCGCCGCTGCTGGAGAGCGCGCACGCATCGTAAGCTGCTAGTGCGGCTCGCGGGGCGCCACACCCGCTGCTGCAGGTGCTGGGGGCGGCACTCGCCGCGCCGGACGCGGCGCAGTGCGAGGGGCTCCCCGCCGACGGCGACCGCGGCAGCGAGGGTCACGGATTTGCTGGGGGTCATTGGGCAGAGGGCGGCGGCGACGGCAGTGGGCAGGGCGGGATCGGGGAGGTGCGGCTGACGTTCGCGCGGGCGCTGGCGCGGGCGCACGTTCGGGCAGCTTCCGTGGAGGCGTGACGCGCGCGGCCCTCGGGAGCGGCGCGCCTCTGGAGCGCTGGGCGGCGTGTTCCGCCTGGCACATAGAACCTGGTATGAGTCATTTCTTGAAATTCTTGCAGGAACCTTTTGTTTGGTTTCTTATTCATCAGCCTGCAAGCCCGCCTTCAGCCGGGGTGTGCCATGCTTCTGGTGCATCAGTAGCAAGCTGCTGCTGTAATCCTGAGGAGCACTGATGACGTCATGGGGTCATGAGAGGATTACAACACACCAGATCAGAGAGTCAGGGCGCAAGCCCTGCCCGAACTTCCGGCCCAGCAACCGCCGCCCCCGCGCATGCATCCTGCACAAAAGCGCGCCGGCCGGCGCGCAGCGCGCGCTGAACAGCAACATTAGCAGCCGCCGTGAGCGCGTCACCTGCTGGCAGCCTCACTGAGTGCAATGCTACGTGCTTTCTGAGACATGGTAACGGCATTGCTTTCAGATTCAAAGGATCAGTAAGCGATGCACAGCAAGATATTGAGGGAGGAGCAAAAGTTTGAGGTAACTGCCAACCATGAGCCAGTAATGAATATATTTCCAGTATTTCCCGAATCTCCTGCAAGGGCACTGGTCCACCCATTGCACGTATCGGGTGCGGCTGCTCCATTTGATTCACTGCCAGACCACACCGCAGCCGTAAGGTCAGTCACGCCCGCCTGCCGCAAGGTCAGCGAGATGCTGCCTCCCAGCAGGCGTGTGAAGTTTCCGGCAAGGACGGCGCCGCGCGGGGACTCGATTGCCAGGCCGCCGGGGACACCGTACTTTGTGACGAAGTCAGCAATCTGGTCGCCAGCGGACACCGATAGGAACGCGCGCACCTGCACAAGCCCAGTCGGCCGGTTGAGGGAGGCGCTGCACAAGGCGTCGGCACCAGACCGGCCACCAAGGTTTCCATTCCTCAAAGTGGAGGATTCACCGTAAAGCACCACCCGTGAACGCAGGTACTGCGCCGCGGGCACGCCACCCAGGCTGACTGCGTTGATGTTGGCCAGGTCAGCGGTTTTCGCGTAGACGCTCAAGTCGATGGCAGACACATTGGCCACATTGGCTGCCAGGGCGGTGAGGCTGGTGTTGACCGAGGCGATGGCTGCCGCGCCTGTGGTGACTGCGGCCTTCAGGGACTCCACAGTGGCGTTGGCCAAGGAGACCGCCGCCGCGTCCGCCGCCTGGGCTGCCTTGATGGCGGCGAGGGTGGTGTTGACGGCTGAGAGCTCCAGGCCGCAAGAGCACTGCTGTGACGCAGACTTGAGCGCTGCGATGTCCCCGGCCGTTGTCTGGTTTGCCGCCTCCAGCAGGGCCAGCTGCTGGGCGGTGCGCGTGTCAGCGGCGGCAAGGGCGGCGAGCTCCTGTGTGATGGTGCCCGGGACAGTGGCGTTGGCCGCGTTTGCTTGCAGCTTTTGCACGGCGGCGGTGAGCGCCGCGATAGTTGCTTTGAGCTCGTCCACCTGAGCGCGCAGCGCGGCTGTCTGGTTGCTTCCTTGGACGAAGTTGGCTTGGAGAGAGCTGGCCTGGGCGGCGGCGGCGGTGACCTTGGGCTCAAGCGCTGCCAGGTCACTGGACACTCTGTCAACCTGTGCAGCGGTCGCCACGCCGCAACCGTAGCGCAGCTTGGTGGGGTCCTGGAGGAGCAGATATAAGTGTGCCGGTTGATCAAAATATGAAGCAACGCGTGTGATGATCAGTACAACTTTGCAGTATCTTGATGGTCGAACAGGATCAAGTGGTGCTGGAAGAGCTGTGGTTGGCTTCACCCACTAACAACCAAGCAAGTCACCACTGTGTCATCGTGTCTGTTTGCTGCCATACCCGCACACAGACACCTGTCTGCGTGCGTGCGTGCGTGCTTGTGTGTGGGTTTTGTGTGCGCACGCGCACACCTTGCTGTCGGCTGTAGCGTTGGCAGGTGCCAACAGCTCGCTGCACAGCTGGTCCATCAGAGCGGTGGGGCCGGCCTTGGAGGTGCACGACTTGATCAAAGCCTTGACGGGCGCACACTGTACGGAGGTGAGCGATCAAAGCAGGG